GCTAGGTTACGCCTGGCTTTAGCTAGGTTACGCCTGGCTTTAGCTAGACGAAGTCTGGCTTCAGCTAGATCACACGTGTCAAACTCGTGTCATTTTATGTGGCCCGCGAATCCATCAGCAAAAAAAATTTTAATTTTGAAAAAAACAAATTTAGTTAGACTTGAAAATAAAAGTATCCCCATGGTCGAAATTATGAGATAGAAAGTTGAAATTATGAGAGCATGTTGTCTGTGTACCGACATTAAAACTATCACAACAGGTGGACAGGAGAGGGAACAGCCCGTAAAGAGGTTTTCCATCAAATGATTGAGTTGAAAAAGATCGACAAATAATCCCAAAATGTCCACGAAGAGAAGAATTGATGCAGAGGGAAGAAGATGTAATGAAAGATGGGAAAGAGAATACATGTGTGTGCTTCAGGGAGAACAACGGGTCTGTCTTCTGTGTTATGATGCGTGTCGGTGATGAAGAATACAATTCACGTCGGCATTTTGACACCAAACACGGAGCTAAATTTAGCCTCCAAGAAAAACATCAAATTGTCCAAGAATTAAAAGGCAGAGTGCAATCACAGCAGAATATATTTACAGAAGCTACAGCCCAGTGCATGCTAAAGGTCTGTGAGCAGGTGAGCTCCGACCAGATACAGACTTTTACAAATGTCAGTTTGTGAAGAAACTGATGAACAGAGGAATTAAGAAAGACGCATGTTAGCGGTTAGCATGTTAGCTCTCCTGCTAGAGCAGCGGTGCAATGGAGGAAGTGAAACAGGAAGTCACTCTAATGACTCACATCGGACTTCTGTGGTGAATTAAATACACTGATACTATTCCCCAATTACCCATTGAGGTGTGTGTGTGTGTGTGTGTGTGTGTGTGTGTGTGAGTGAGAGAGAGAGAGTGAGTGAGAGAGTCAGTCAGCATCTCTCCATGTCCTAAAATGAAAAGTGGGATTTATCATTTATTCATGTTCCCAGAGCGGAGACAGATGGTCTGACGGGCGGTGTGATGTCATCTGTCATTAAGACATTACTGTAATCACACACACTGACACACACAGGTGTCGACTCACATGAGCTCAAATATCAACACTTTAATGTTTTTCCATAAATGAGTTCACGTGTGTGATGGATTCTCCTCCGGACAGGTGTGACCCATCCAGGTGCTGATTACCGCTCAGGTGTGCACCATGAAACAATACGATTCTGAACGATGCAAGTTTCTACAGATGTGACGTCAGCAGAGGTGTTTGTGCAGAAATTCTTTAGCTGTGTGAACCAACTGTTGCATCAGCGGTCTCAGGTGGTCCGGTCTCAGGTGGTCCGGTCTCAGGTGGTTATATTGTTGAGTGGGTAAATATACTGAACGGTTTAAATGCATCTTTCATTTCATCTCCACTTTAACGGGGTTCTGAACGTTAATTCAACAAAAAACTGATTTAATTCTTTATTAGTAATTCAAACTTTTCCCCGTTTCTTATCTTGTGAAGTGATGTAAATCAGCATAATTAACTTAAAGACATTAGCTTTGAGAGGGACTTTTATTGAGAGAGAGAGAGAGAGAGAGCGACGGGAAACTAGAACAGAGGGCTCCACTGTTACTGGCAGTGTGTGTGTGTGTGTGTGTGTGGTGTGTGTGTGTGTGTGTGTGTTGCGGTGTGCAGCGGTCATAAAGTACAGGAAGCAGGTCTGTAAGTACAGATGAACTGTGTGTGTGTGTGTGTGTGTGTGTGTGTGTCAGACCTGATTAAACATTAAAGTGATGGTGATCTGGATCCAGTCCAAATGTTTCCCATGATGCTCAGGGACCAACAGGAGCAATAAACTCTCAATCAGCTTCACCAGAGGCCCAGAGTCTGTGCGCACTTTAACCCCTCGTGGCCTTCAGCAGCAGAGGAGCTGATCAGCTGTTAGTGTACTTACATCGACCTCTCTGTCACCTAACGTTAGTACACAGTGACGTCACTCCGTGTTGTTTCAACACTAACGAGACTCATTAGTCACGTTTGAGCCTTCATCTCTCTGGATTTGAACATAAGCTCATGAACTCATATTATGTGTAACATGATGTTAACGGCTTTAAATACCATGTTCGCTCTTACATGGTGCATTTATAAATATTAAATATAAATGTTGATAATATAATAAACTGCTGTTCTTCAGGACCATTGAAACTTGACGATGAGAAAACGGCAACAAGCTGCAGAAAGGAGGAGGAGGAGGAGGAGGAGGAGGAGGAGCAGAGGGAGCGTTGGATTCTGATTCCTGAGCAGCTGACAGCGCCTCCTCCTGCTGATGGTTATTAAAAGGCTTTTAAAGGAGGATTATTAGCATGAATACTAATGAGGATAATCACGTTAACGGAACAATATCACACAGCCACCGGGCTCATTCCCACCGCCTCCTCCTCCTCCTCCATTCACCTCTCCATCCTCAGCTCTGCCACCAGACTCCCTCTCTTCTCTCCTCCAGTTGTTCTCTTGTTTATCCTCAACTCCTCCTCTTTCTCTTGTCTCTCTCTCCTCCTCTCTCCTCTCCTCCTTCTATCCTTTTGTCTCTCTCCTCCTCCTCCTCCTCTTGTCTCTCTTGTTCTTTGTAATCTCCTCCTGTCCTCCTCTCATCTCTCATCCTCCTTTCATCCTCCTCTCTCCTCCTCCCCTCTCTTCTTTACTCCTCTCTCATCTACTCCTCTCCTCGCCTCTTTCTCCTCCTCTCCTCTACACGTGCCAGTCACCTGCCGGTCGTCGTCCTCCGCCTGTGTGAGGAGTGCTCTGATTGGCTGCAGGAGGTCTCATTGTGGTAGAAGCTCATTAAAGCGTGTCCTCCTCCTTTAATAGACTCGCGCTCGGCCCGCGTGCAGCTCCGCGCTCCTCTTAGAGAAAGAAAGAAAACGTTCATTGAGTCAAATAAAAACATTCAAAATCCGCTTTTATTGCGGGATCTTCTCCTCCTTTCTTCTCCTCCTTTCTTCTCCTCCTTTCTTCTCCCCCGTCTCTCGGGACGAAAGCGCGCCGCCTCCCGTGTTTTGAAGCGGAGCTCCGGGGAGTCCAGCGGGGGAGAGTCGGAGCTGAAGCCGTTGGAGGAGCGAGGAGAGCCGGCTAAGAGACCTCAGCGAGCCGCCTGGAGGACGGATCACGTTTATCAAAGAAATATATGAAATATGGAAATATTTCATATATTTTAATGGTATAAATACTGACACATTACTTATTAGATACAAAATCATATTCATAAGAAAATATGAAATGAACATGAATGATATTCATGTTGTTGAAAACAATAAGATCAAACTTTTATTTTATATTTGAATAATATTTATATTTGATCCGGTTCAGTGTTTTATATGATGAGTCCAGAGACAATAAAAATACAAACTATGAAATGAATGTAAACATCTCTCAGCGCGCGACTCCGTGAATTTATTTAATTGTATTTAGAATATTGAATTAAAAACATTAAATATTCTCTTTATTGATAGAATTATCGTTTATGAATCAAAACCAATTTAAACAGATTCAACCGACAGTGTGTGTGTGTGTGTGTGTGTGTGTGTGTGTCTCTCGCGTCTCTCGCGCTAACGAGTGTCGACAATAAATGTTTAAAAGCTCATAAATACAGATCAGAGTGAAAGAAAGAATAATAATCCTGTTGAGAGGAGAGGAGGAGGAGGAGGAGGGTGAATGGAGGGATGAAGAAAGCAGCTGTTGTCTTGGTAATCTGTCCTCTAATCTGTTTTCCTGCTCTGTCACTCATACTGCTGCACACCTCCTCCTTCTCCTTCTCCTCCTTCTCCTCCTTCTCCTTCTCCTCCTCCTTCTCCTTCTCCTCCTCCTCCTTCTCCTCCTTCTCCTCCTCCTCCTTCTCCTCCTCCTCCTTCTCCTTCTCCTCCTCCTTCTCCTCCTTCTCCTCCTTCTTCTCCTCCTTCTCCTCCTCCTTCTCCTCCTCCTCCTTCTCCTCCTCCTTCTTCTTCTCCTCCTCCTCCTTCTCCTTCTCCTCCTTCTTCTTCTCCTCCTCCTCCTTCTCCTTCTCCTCCTTCTTCTCCTCCTCCTTCTCCTTCTCCTCCTTCTTCTCCTCCTCCTTCTCCTTCTCCTCCTTCTTCTTCTCCTCCTTCTCCTTCTCCTTCTTCTTCTCCTCCTCCTTCTCCTTCTCCTCCTTCTTCTTCTCCTCCTCCTCCTTCTCCTTCTCCTCCTTCTTCTCCTCCTTCTTCTCCTCCTCCTCCTCCTCCTCCTCCTCCTTGGCTCACATTCCACTGCTGAAGACTTTTAACCTTTTTATATTAAAATATTTGATATTTATAAAGATAAAGTTGTGTTTTCATGTTACACATTGAATATCTTTGAATAACCTTTATTGATAAACATCTACGTGGTCCAGGTGAGTCCGGGTCCATGTGGATCGTTGTACTCTGATCCATTACTGCAGTAAAAGTACACAGAAATACTCGTTGTTCTCTGAGGATGAAGAACATCATTCAAGTCCGAACCAGGAGGACCGAGACCCCGCAGGGCCCTGATCCTGATCCTGGTCCTGGTCCTGATCCTGATCCGGGTCCAGACTCCGCTGTTGTTTCCTCATTAAGTCCTAATTGAGTGTCTCTACGGTGTCACGAGCCGGAGCTGAACACGGAGCCAACAGCGCGTGGAGTACGAACACGCACACACACGCACGCACACACACGCACGCACACGCACGCACGCACACACACGCTGTCTGTCTCTCCTCTCTTTATAGAAATGTTGGAGGAGGTGATTACAGCCCATTACACAGACAGACAGGCAGACAGAGAGACAGAGAGACAGGCGGGCAGACCGGCTGTATATAGACCTCGTCGCCGTGAGACCATCAGCACTTCTGCACAACTTCTGTCGCTTCGTGACACTTTTTTATATGTGACCGCAGAAGAAGAAAAATCCTGTTTTTAATATTTGACTTTTATTAAAGAAGAAGAGACACACAGCACGTGCAGCTTCTTCTTCTAGTTTGGGATTTTTTTTCTCTCTCCTGGAGGACTTTTCCTCCTCCGGTCCTCCTCCCCCGGCCCCCGGCCCCCGACTCCCTCTCTCCCCGCCATGGGCTCCGTGCTGCCCGGCTCCTCTGTGGGCCTGAAGTCGGTGTTTAAGCCGCAGCAGCCGCTCTCTCTCGCGGACATCATCACGTCGGACATCCTGCACAGCTTCCTGTACGGCCGCTGGAGGCACGTGCTGGGCGAGCAGCACCACCAGCACGTGCCTCACCTGCAGCAGCACCACCTGAACCTGCACGAGGACCGCACCGCGCCGAGCGCGAGCCCCAAGACCGCGTTCACCGCCGAGGTGCTCGCGCAGTCCTTCTCCGGAGGTCAGTGACGACACTTCAATTAACCAATTAAAATGTGACCGTTACCTTCCGGTCACCGAAATTAATATTCTAATTAATGAGTCAACTTTGAACTTTCACTTTAATACTTTTATGTTTATTTTATTTTGCTGATTAATATTTAATGTGAAACGTCGTTCTATTTTAAATCATAAAGATACAATTAAAACGTTTAAAAGTGTTTCTGCACATTTAATAATTATATTTATTTATATTTATAAAACATTTTATGTACAAAAATGTGTAAAATGAGTTTAACCCGCAGACACAAAGTTAATTTAACTATTGTTATGAATTATGATTAACAGTAACGTCATCAATAATGTGACGCTCAGCCTCATTAAATCAATAATTAATGAATATAAATGCTTTTAATAATTCCTAAAATACATCAGCTCGTGACTCTGATGTAAATATATAATTTAAAATGAGCTTTCAAGTTTAAATCCTTCAAATAAAACGAAGCGTCACGCGCGGCCTTTTTTCTTTTTATTTTCTCTTTTTTATTTTTATTTTAACGATTTTAACGGAAAGGTTTCGTTTGTGTTTCGGTGAACTTCGTTCGGAACAGTTTCGGAGGATCCGTGACAGGTTGAACCCGGTGTCTCGCGCCTCCTGGTTCGTTTTTAACGGATTATTTCTGCTCCGCGGGGCTTTTTAAAGCCCGCTGAACTGTTTCTCTTGATTCATTCATGAGCCGCTCTCCTCTCTTCTTCTTCTCGCCTTTTAAATTGAGATAATCTTTCACTTTTATCTCATTTAAATCTCTTTTCTCCTTAGTGTCAAAACCTGTTTCACGCTCCGTGCTGAGCGCGAGACAGGTTTTATATTGAAACACATCAGTCTATTGTATTTATTTTGTACTCTATTTATATGTGATTGTGTCTCCAGACCTCCTCCTCCTCCTCCTCCTCCTCTCTCCTCTCCTCTTCTTCTTCGTGGGTTCAGATTAAAGCGGCTCATTGAACAGAAGAAGAAGAGTTTAACCTCTTTTCTCTCGAGGCTCACCTTCATGCTGCTTTCACTGTTTGTGGGAAACTTCAGCTTTGCGACGTCCTTTCTCCCAAAAACACTCAGAGAACAATGCATCACGCTCTCATCACGCGCTGTTAAATATGAGTTCAACACGATGACGTCACGTTGAAGAGATTTTCTTAGTCATGAAAATATCTTTTTTTAAGAGATTAAAATAATATCAGACTTGTTTAAAAAGTGTTGAAATTAAAATGAATATTATTTGAATATTACTTATTTTAATTGTGTGTTTTGTTCAGAGGTGCAGAAGTTGTCGAGTCTGGTTTTACCGAGTGAGGTGATCATCGCTCAGAGTTCAGTCCCAGGTAATATTATACATGTATTATGTTTATTATTATGTACTATATCATTTATATGTTATATATTATATACGTTCTAAATAACTGCTTCATCAGTGAATAACTCTTTTATTATTAATATTCATATTTTAATCTGCTGTCTCTGTAATGTTTCTCCTCTAAACTCGTGTTTTATAACATGTTGATCATCGATGCGCATTAATCTGATGAAGATGAAGTATCATTTTTTATTGATATGTTTCAGAGCGATTAGTCAGATAACTGTTATAAAGTCACCGTATATGTTGTATAGGTTAGGAGGTGGTAGTACCTGTATGTAGTATGTCCGTAGTACAGCCGTGTGTGTGTGTGTGTGTGTGTGTGTGTGTGTGTGTGTGTGTGTGTGTGTGGATGTGTGTG